GTAACAAATTATCCATCAACACAATCTTTTGGTACACCTCCGAGTTGATTTTCACATTTCTTTCAATGAAAACCAACGGAGTTTTACCGGTTGCCGTGATACCGGCCCAAACCATGACACTTTTCGGGAAAAGGCGGTTATGGGCAAGACGACGTTTCGGAGACATGCTGTCATCCTTTGACAATAACTGTCTCTGGTTTTGACGGTTGGGAAGAGGTTCAATAGTGAAGATCTTCTCGTCTGTCCAGATAACGTCAGAGACGCGGCGCACTTGAAAGTGCTGGAGTAATTTTCGGCATTTTTCGAGTCGCATCGCTTTCGATTTGTCCGAGAGGTACTGTCCACGACGTAGTTTGTAACTTTTGAGCTTCAAGTCGTTCTTGACAATCGATTGGACAGTGGATCGGGCAATTCCAAGCTGTGACGCCATCCTATTGAGACTCAATCCATCATTTCGAATGATCCGTTTCTTGATGATTGCACGAGTATTCCGGGTGTTGACAGAACGTGGACGTCCGCTTTTTTTTACTTCAGAAGCATCTCCTCGCTTTTTGATAGCAGCGACAACGTTTCGAACCGTCGAAGACGAAATTTGAAGGCGTCGAGCGATCTCAGCACTTCCGAGGCCTCTCTTGAACAAGAGTTCAATGGAAGGACGATGAGGAGAACTTTTCATAGCTCGGCGATATGGAGAAGTGAGAACAAATGACTGAGAAGCTTACTTATATAGTCTCTGGACTTTCGAAAAGTTTCGAAATTTTTCGAAAATATCCCTTGGCACCGTGCCAGGGAACGCTGAAAGCGAGCGTCCTATACTTATCGGCCACCCTGTAATAAAAGAGCATCCTAACTTTAAATGTTGAGCTATATCTAAATTCCTTCGGAATATATCAAAAAATTGTCAACTGATAAATTGTTTATCATAATTTTGCAAACATTTTAGCAAACGTCAGATTTTTGATATCTTGCGTAGGAATCGAGATAACTGGCAATATGGATGCCCCTCTAATACAATTTTTTTTTCTGTACTTTTAAAGCTTATACTATACCTGGTTTCCATGGTTGGCTGGCATAGTCGATGTTGAAGGAGCTGGGGAACCAAGCCAAGGAAGAAGATTGGTTGGCCATGGGTATCCTCGACCAGATGTTGTTGACGGGCGCGAATTCGGTGTGCCACGTCTCTGCACCGGAGCCTAGAAAAAACACATTCAAATAAAAATTCATACTTTTAATTCATTTTAAAAGTATGTACCTGGTTTGGATGACGTGTTGATGAATGGAGAGACGAAGTGGATGAGACGGTTGTCGATGTTGACGGAACGGGAGAACCAAAACGAGGAAGAAGACTGGTTGATGGGCCTTGGAGTCCATTGATCAATATAATTGGGTTAGGCCAGTCCAAAATCGCTATGAGGTCCAGCAAATGTTGATCCAACATTTGCTGGGAACCGTCATACGTTGAAACCACCGAAGGGATCTCAATGCCTCTCACTTTCATATGCTCCTTCCACAATCGACCAATGATTTCTCGCGACATTTCTCCTCCCACGAAAATCAAAAAATTGATAATGTGGCAAACGAAAGACCGATCAGCCTCAAACGCTTCCCATAAGAGATTCCGGCGTTGTTCAATCGTGTGGCAAGAGTTGTGACGGCACAAGCCTAGGTCAAACTCGAAAATTGCCGCTAGTACCAATCGAACCGCCTCCTGACGATTTTGTTTATTGGTGAGCAGCTCAAGGAGGCTTTTGGCGGGAAAATTTTTGTGATTGGTCCAAAAGACTTGTACCGTTGACATCAGATCAATCAGCAAGGGGAAGTTGCAGCTATCTCGGAAAAGTTGTGACAATGGGAAGTGTGATGGGTTCAATTGGAGACAACGCATGTGAGATAATAATATTTCTCTAGATTGCTCAATCCAAAACGATCTAACCGAATCCGAAATGTCGCTGGTCATAATATAAAAATATATCATTTGAAAAGCGAGGACCCGATCGAGCGCAAGTGATTTTTCGTACAGGGATCGAATGTCTCTCAAAAACAATGGTACAAATGTTTGGTTTCTCAAATCGAACCGGAAAAATGCTAGAATAACTAGCACTAGCACGTCGAGCGTAGTTTGAAGGGTCATGGTGTTACCTGCAATGAAGTGGCTATGGCTCATTCTGTTTTCGAGACGAATGAAGTAAAACGGAGGGCAAAAATTATATTTTACAGAGTTCAGAAAATGAAACAAATAGATAACTTGAGAAATTCAAAAATATGCCAAGTACATTTCATAAAATCTCAAAAGCTGAAGAAACTTTTTATATTAACCTCTTTCTCCTCCCCCAAAAGCCAAAAAACCGTCTGCTGGGGGGGATGCCTGTTGGGTTCCGCTTGCCGCTTATTTACAGCCGCTCAAGGGAACAGAGAATCGGAAGGGTGAGGGAAGGTGTCGTAAAAGTATCGAGTGATCACAAATGTTTATACTAACTAATTAGAATGTATTTATAATTAACGAGAAGATGTTCTTCAAAGAAAAACCTAAAAAGATATAATTATTGGAATGAATAGAGGCCTCATAGTTCTTTATGTACCTTGAATTTGCTGTTTTGTGAAAATATCGAAATTCTTAAAAAACTAAAATATGTTATCCATAAGGAACTGGAGTTTTGAAAAAAAGTATGGGAAAGATTATGGTATGTAGATGAAGAAAAAAAGTTGGTATTCAAAAAAAACTTCAGGAACTTAGAAAGAGTAGGCGTACCTTTGTTTCAACGTCAAATAAACGGAATGGATATTGAAGGAAAATATTTTTGGAAAATGAAAAATGGGCGGAGCATTCCCAGCGGCCTTCCTAAAGTCCAAGTAAATGGTAAATGGCGTAACAAAAGCGGCGAAATGCAACTAATACTGATGGCGCAATAACATTACACGGGTGGTGAAAAAAATACAGTAACACCTGTCCCTCCTCTTTTTCGGCAAATCCTTTTTTTTTCAGAAAAAATGTTATTCCGAAAACAAAAAATTTGAGGGATGCGAAAAATTCGAGAATTCAGAAATTCAGAAATTCAGAAATTCAGAAATTCAGAAATTCGCAAATTCAGAAATTCAGAAATTCAGAAATTCAGAAATTCAGAAATTCAGAAATTCAGAAATTCAGAAATTCAGAAATTTAGAAATTCAGAAATTCAGAAATTCAGAAATTCAGAAATTCAGAAATTCAGAAATTCAGAAATTCAGAAATTCAGAAATTCAGAAATTCAGAAATTCAGAAATTCAGAAATTCAGAAATTCAGAAATTCAGAAATTCAGAAATTCAGAAATTCAGAAATTCAGAAATTCAGAAATTTAGAAATTCAGAAATTCAGAAATTCAGAAATTCAGAAATTCAGAAATTCAGAAATTCAGAAATTCAGAAATTCAGAAATTCAGAAATTCAGAAATTCAGAAATTCAGAAATTTAGAAAAAATATGGGAAGAGAAAAACTGCTGATATGCAGATGGAGGCAAAGAAAATTCAGTTGAAGTCGTATGCATTATAAATTTGCATGCAAAAAACATAAAATGAAATACAGACCGTGTAATAAAATCTGAGAAAAAAGGAAGATGGGAACGGTGTACTAGATAGAAGGAGCTATAAAAAAGGAAAGAGCCCACTAAAATCAGAATATTTATGAATATTTTTGAATTGATTTGAAAAGATTTTCGACATCGTCATTATCAATTGTCAGTTTGACAAGAAGTGTCCTCCACGTTGCAAAAATAAGCAAGAATCGGTACTATTCCGAAATAGGGAAAAATGTCTTGTGAAGATTTATGATCAGGTCTGGTTATTACCTGATAGTTGCCAATTATTCGTTCCCATTCCCACAAGTTATATGTATTAGTCCAAACACTCTAACGGACCAAAAATATAACACTCTCTGCATGATTTCTCCGTTTGTAGGATAAAATAACAATTTCTAATCATCAATTTCACTCAAATAACCGAAATTCTGCGTCAACACCTGAAGTTGATGCACAATTCCATCAACTTTCCCACCAACTCGAAAACAATATATTATTGAAAAAAAAACACTTTTATCATTTCAGATCATCATCTCTTGAAATCTCTCTTTCAACCTTTATCTTCGAACAATCTGGAAAAACATATCTATATCATATTACAAAATCTTTTGTATGAAGCCGAAATCTTAATAGAAGCCGGAGCAGATGTACAATTTGCTGATAAGATCTATGTTTCGCATCTGGCACCTGAAAATCATAACTCTCTTCACATAAGTATCGTTTTCCATTCTATTAATTTCTACTATTCCCCTTTCACTCTTCTTATTTTGAGAGTAATTTGATTGAAAGTGAGTTGCGAAGATAGATACATGGATTCTTTTTTCGGGAGTTCACCAGATGGTACCTATGAAGTCATGCCATCATACTTTCTGAATTCTATGTGTCCCAGTCTAGACAGGACCTCACTTGTAAACGATCACACATCACGAGTTCCCATCCGAAACAAATGCGAAATCCTGTTGAAAAGACAATGCAAATTTTGGAGAGCACTGTGTGCTCCGCCAAGCTTTTTGTGTTATTAAAACCAGATAGATTCTGATGGGCCAAATATAAAAACCCCATTCAATTTCCTCCTTCTTCATTTTTCCCCACTTTCCACCCACACTGTCTGCCTTTCACAAATAGAATGATTCATTTTTATGTTTTGATTCTGGCTCTACAAGTAGCCCTGTCTTTTTGAATTCATTGTGTACATCAATCATCCTGATAAAATAACTTTTCGATTTTCAAATAATCGTACATTTCTGACATTTGAGAGTCAATTTGTGTGCTTAGCTAAAGAACATGGCATATTGTAAGTGTACACTATCCAAAGTGTAATAGTTAAAAGTTGAGGGTTAGCATTTTTCTCCTCTTTTCGCCACTTGCACTTTATTCGCAAGGTTCTCATTTTCTATTGTCTTCATTCCATGATCTTAATCTTCAATAAACTTATCCTAAATTTAGTCTTGTACAGTAAATGCCAAATTTCAGAATATGATGTCCAGACCATTCAACCGAATTCCCGCCGAGAGAGTTGGAGAAAATAACCCATCCATCTGGTGAGTAATCTCTCCCAAGTCAAAGTTGACATGAGTAAAATATCGATTTTCAGGGTCGAACTCGGTGCTCTCGCTTCTGAGATCAATGCTGTCAATCTTGGACAAGGATTTCCGGATGGACCTGCTCCCAAATTCGTCACTGACCAGCTCAAGAGAATCTCAAAGCATCCAGAGCTCACTTGTGCTCATCAGTATACTTCTGGATATGGGCATCCAAAATTGGTCAATGAACTGAGCAAATGGTACTCTTATCTGTATCAACAACAAGTGAATGCCAAGTCAAATATTTTGGTCACAGTGGGAGCCTATCATGCTCTCTATTATTCATTCCTCGCATGGATCAATAAGGGGGATGAAGTCATCAGTGAGTTTTTATCCATATTTCGAGAACTAGGAAATCCTTTCAGTCATCGAGCCAGCTTTCGATTGCTATGCTCCTCAAATCAAATTGGCCGGTGGTGTCCCAGTCTCGATTGCCATGAACTTCCCAGACGGTGGAACTGACGCTTCTCAGTTCACAGTCGATTTCGAAAAGATGGAAAGCAGCATCACGGAGAAAACCAAGATGATCGTCATCAACAACCCCCACAACCCATCTGGCAAGCTCTTCAATAGAATGGAGCTTCTCAAAATCGCAGACATTGCTCAGAAGTACGACTTGATCGTCGTTGCCGACGAAGTGTACGAGTTCCACTGTTGGGGTGTGCCTAAAATGATTCGATTCGGTGAGTTCTCAACATTATTAGATTCCAAAATTACTGTTGTTCTTTTTCAGCGAGTCTTCCTGGAATGTGGAACCGAACAATTTCCATCGGAAGCGCTGGAAAGGTGTTTTCCATCACAGGTTGGAAATTGGGCTGGGCTATCGGACCAGATCATCTTCTTGCTCCGCTCAAAGCGATCCACCAAAACTGTACCTACGCCTGCTCCACTCCCACTCAACTCGCAGTCGGGATGGCATTCGAGAAGGAATGGGAGACATTCCATGTCAAGCCTCACAAATCTTATCTTGGAGGATATTTGCCGGAGGAGCTCGTGAAAAAGAATAAGAAGCTCCAAAAGATGCTCGTGAAAGCTGGATTTGCTCCGATCTTGCCTCAAGCTGGCTACTTCATGTTGGCAAATTATACCCAAATAAATGCTGGTAAGTTTCAAAATTAATCAGATTCAGTATACAGTATGAACAATAATTTTTAGAGTTCAAAACTTTGGAAGAGACTAGTGAGTTGGATGATTACTCATTCACCAAATGGCTATGCACGGAGAAGAAGTTGGCAGTGATTCCGTTAACCGCCTTCTTTGCCAACAATGAAGACAAGATGAGAAACACTTCATTCGTCAGATTCTGCTTTTTCAAGAAGGACAAGACCCTCAACGACGCCAAGAAGATCATGAAGAATCTCTCCAAGTGACTGTATCACAATCATCAGCTCTGCGAATATAACATGAAATTATATCAATTCCTCTACCGTAATCTTTCCATCCCTCTTGCTATTCATCCCAAAGTTTTCTTTTCTAGAAATACCCTCTGTGTGTGTGGATGAACATGACTAAAAAAACTAAAAAAATCCGAAATTTTCTCTCACTCTCTTCCGATCTGTTTTTTTCTACCCCCTGTCCTGTTTTTGTCCCGATTCCTTGAACAACATACTCATGTACTGAATATTGAAAATGAAAAAATTTGTTTCTGGAATTTCGTATTGTCGCTCTCTAGAAAATGTGACAAAAAGCTATAATTTGGAGCTAGCTGTCCTTTTCAGATACGGTAACGAAAAGAAAAAATATACTCAGCTGTGAACTGGATACTGAGCCGATTTGATCTAATTAATTAACTGTTTTGCTGTTTTTTTTGCTATCAAACATTTCATTTAAAAAAGGCACGGTTTGAATGTTTATTGTGGCCTGCACTGTTTTTACAAAAATAGTCAAAATTCAAAAATTTAATCAACTTTGGTAGACAATTTAGATGCCAATTTTGCAATGTTCTTGAACTGCTCAACTCCCAACCAGAATCCGGTGAAATAGTCGTCAACCATGTACGGTAAATCGTTCTCAGCGGCAAATTCCTTAACCAATGGCATGACTGTGTTAAGGTTGTGACGTGGCATTGTTGGGAACAAGTGATGCTCGATCTGAAAAATAAACTTAATTGAAGATAAAGCTTTTTTTTCACTTTTCTGCCTACCTGATAGTTGAGTCCACCCCACAACCAGTCAATGAACATTCCTGGTCGCATGTTTCTTGTGGTCATCATTTGAAGACAGGCGTAGTTTGACATGATGTTCGAGCTCACTGAAAAATATTATGTTGGGTGTCTTTTGCAGTCTTCAAATCTATCTTACAAGCAAACTTCTCAACGGAGTAATGATTGAAAGTGACAACATGGGCAAGTAGGAATCCTCCGACTAGATGGGAAACAAAGAAGAACATGATTCTGAAAACCAGGAAATGAAATAAATAATTTTTGAAGATAAGCGTCACCTGGTGGGCCAATTAGGAAGAAAATAGAGCTGAGTCAAGGACCACGCCCAGTGAAGAGTGAGAGCGACCTGAATTTCGAAAAAAAATTGGAATTAATTTTTTTTTACAAATTATACCTGCTCATATTTAGCCGTCTTTCTGTAATAGTCATAGTAGTGGTTTCCCATCTGACTAACAAAAATGACAGACTGCAAAAGCCACGAAAGACGAAGGAATGGCAGCATGAATGGCCAATGGACGTGTTGCCAACGGAACAGAATCATGGTCCATGAATCTTGCGGATAGTTATCGAGGTGTTCAGCGACAGTGGCGTAGAACGGGACCAAATCAAGATCTCCATCTCTTCCGACGACGTTAGTGGCGGCGTGGTGGACATTGTGTTGTTCTTTCCAGCCACTGGAGGAGAAACCCTGAAAAATGAGATTGTTTCAGAACAGTATGCAGAACCGGTCAACTGGATCAGTTGATTTTGACAATTTTCAGAAATCTGGAGCTCGGCTATCAAGTTTTCGCTAACATTGAAAATTCAGGTATAAAACTGGCCTGGATTGAAAAAAATTTCATTCTCAGAATTCTTCGAAAATCTCTAGTTTCCAGCTATAAGCCAATTTCCGAAAGACACCTACACACTTCAGTGCCAAAATGGGCCAAAAGAGGTGTCTTTTGAAAATTGGAGAATAGCTGAAAAACTGAGGGTTCTCAAATAATGCTGTGAAAACAAAATTGTCAGTCTAGGTCTGTTTTCCACCCTCTGAAATTTCCAAAAGAGTCGGTAATTTGAAAGCCAAGCTCCAGACTCTTGAAACTGGTCAAAATCACTTTGAAAACAAGTTTATGTTCATCTTGGCTAGTTCTGAAACAAGTTTCGAAATCTCATCAACAAACCTGCAAAAAGTTTCCAACAAAGTAGCTGGTCAAGTCATTGTACCATCTATTTTTGAATCCTTGATGGTGAGTGAACTCGTGGATCAACCATCCCAGTTGTTGCCATGCGATTCCCATAAGCACTGCTGCCGGGAAGTAGTAGGCATGATATTGAAGGAAGAATGCAACAAGGATTGTCAAAATTGGTTCCATAACTTTACGAGTGTAGAACAATCCAGAGCTATCAAAGAGTCCATCAGAACGAAGTTTCGCGCGAAGCTTGTTGAAGTTCTTGTTGATTTCCTCTGAACGTTCCTCGGTCATTTCGAATGTTCCAATGTTAACATCGTCAAATCCTTCGATCGAATCTTCCTGGAATACAAAAAAAGTGATTGTTTTGTTTTTGATTTCTCGAAAACTTGCCGGTACACGTGGGAGGTTTGGATTTTGTGTCGGGCATTTTTGTTTTAGTTGGGTTAGCCAGTTGTAAGCATCTTTTGATCCGGTGTGGAAAGTGTGGAAGACAGTTGTAGCCTGGAACATTAATTTTACTAATGGCTTCTACCAGGAATTGTTAAAATCTCATTGGGAGTTCAGAAAATTCCAAAAACTAATTTTCAGAAAAAATTACTGAACGTTTTTCTTTTTTCTATAATTAGAGCGTTCGACATGTACGGTATGAGTGGAATTGATAGTAATGTTTTTGAAGGTTTTCGAAATCTGGATGTCAATTTTCCACCGTTTTGGTTGACCTTCAAAATTGAAATTTATAAAATTTTTAAATTACGAAATTTTGAAACTCGAAATTTTAGACATTTCAAAAAACTCAGAAAAGACAATTTTAAAATCTTTGCTTGTAAATTTATGAAAATTATTTTTTGTGATCAACTAATGAATACCCTAAAACTGGTTCCTCTGTAGAATCAGGTCACTGTTTCTTTCTATTCAGCAAAAAAAAATCTTGCATCGGCATTTTCTCGTCTCTTATCGTTCTTATCAATGTATTTTTTTTGCATTAGAAGTATATGTATTGAAGTGTGTTCTTTGTTCATTGTGTTATAATGACGATTCGATTTTTATCAATTCAGGAAATCAATAGTTTTACATTATACCTTTTCTCGCTACTAATAGAATAAAACAACTCCTTGACTACAGTAATCCCACAAAAAATAACTAATCTGAGTAAACTGATGTCTAACCAGAAATGAGCGCAATGACATACACCGGAGCACTAATCAGAATTCAAAATGTGGAATCTGGCAGACAACATCTAGTACTAACAGAGTCTGAAAATTAACTTACATCCATATTTCTATACGTGGTGATGGCACTGCCACCCGGGTGAGCACGAAGCACTTCGTCATCGATGTGGCACCATTTTCCGTCGATTTTTATGTAGAACGGTTTATTTTGTAGCTCACGAAGAACCATTGTACTATTAGGGCCAAGTATGAGGTATCCTAAAAGCAGAAATATTTTCTAAAGCTTTATAAAAATGACAGTTGTTTAAAAAACAACGAAAAATAAAGAGAATGGCCGTTTGAGGCCGATTCCGAAAAGTTCAAGACTGCCAGTTTGGTCGCAATGGAAACTGATAACGAGTGAATTAATATTTAGCCCCCTTAAGAATGATAAAGAAAGAGAAAAAAAAAGTTGTGTGGCGTTGAAAAAGAGGATAGGAATTGAAAGATAAGAGTGATGGACAGGTCACTAAAGAATTAGTGAAAGAAAAAATTGGAAATAAGGGCATCGGTTATTCGCTTCTTTCATTTTCCGTGAAAAAAATATGATAAGATTATCGAATGTCGCATTTCTCTCATTTCGGCCGGTCTAACTTTTTTAGTGTATTCATGATAATAATCAAATCTCAGGATCTTGGAATTTCAGAATTTCTTAGTTTCAGAATTTTTGATTTCCAGAATTTTAATCTCACAAGGGAAGTGTTTTCAGAGGGGCGTTGAGAATTAGCTCAAAATTTGTACAAAGGTACTTTCGAACATGTTGAATACGATTTCAGCAATATCTCGGTCATAACCCTGATAGGAACAAAAATATGGGCTTGCTTTTGGGCGATAGGACAAGTCGAAATAAACAATATTTCAAAATTTCTTTAAAATTTCAAACACCTTCTTTTTCACATTGAAAACGTCGGGAATTCATGAAATAAGTATAATTTGTTATTCAGGGGACCAAAATGGATATCGAAAATTCGTCTCGAAAAAAACAAAAAAAAAGATTTACCACAGTGGGGTTCGAACCACCATAGTCACTCTTGTCTCCCTCTTACCGCAACACCACACAGCCGATATTTTCCTCTGGCGCGGAGTGCGTATAGGAGAGAGGGGCGTAGTGGAGTGAGGGAGAGGGCGAAATCGACCAAAAATTTTCAGACGAAGATTTTCAGCTTGTTGATGATACTATGACCTAGATTTTTTCGTCATCGTGTTGCGGATATCTCAAACTATCAGTACTGAAACTTTCAGAAAATTTTCAACGCCCCTCTGAAAACACTTTCCTTGTCAGAATCTTAGAATGTCCAAAATTCAGAATATGAAAATTTCGGAACTTCAGATACTCAGAACTTCAGAAGTTCGAATGTTTAAAAGTTCGATAGTCCGACTCTCAGACTTTCAAAATCCCAGACCTTCAAAATTTCAGAATTTTAATTTTGAAATTTTAAAGTTTTAGAATTTCATAATTTCGGAATTTGAATATATTGATATCAGAACCGCCAATTATTATAAATTTTAAAATTTTTTAAATCCAGAATCGCAGATTTGCACAATTTCATGAACTCAAAGTTTCCAGAATTTCAGAATTTTAGAATTTTCCAAATTTCCAGAATTTCAGAATTTCAGAATTTCAGCCCTTCGAAACTAAAAAATTTCCAATTCTGAGAATCTGAAATTTTTAAAAAATCGGTTTCTGTTACTGACAAAACCATGAGATTGAAAAAATTTAGATGTGAGATCTTTAACCACATTTTTACAAGGTGGCTAAAACGTCATAACAAATCGTGGCAGATTTGTTCAGTTTTTTTTTGGTTAAACTGATAAGAGCAAAAGTTCTGTGGTGTGTTTGAACAACAAACACACCTATTCAAAGTACAACGGACTTTGCTCTTTTCAGAAATACACATACATAACACGTGATAACTCAAAATTCTCGTGAGGCAGGGAAAATTTCCGGATTCATGATTTGGTGCGGTTAGTGGCTGATAAGAAGTTATGGGGTGATGTCTGTGCAGAGAATTGGATTGATGAATGTTGTGAAATGAATACGTGTTTTAGCTAGAATTTCTTTTAGTATCGGGAATCAATCGAACTATCAGTTTTTTGAAAACTGTAAGACAAGGGTATTTATAATGTCAATTTTGACTCGATTTATCTTGGTTCCTATGAAAGATTGATCTTGAAACATGTATCGGACGTTATGGAGAATGTTTTAGTGTTCGGCAAGATTTCAATATATTTTACAGAAATTGAGTTACACTGAGTCAAAGTCAAAAATCTGAGAACCCTTCTAATACAGATTTTACAGTATTTTTTTGAAATATTTCCATTTTCAACTCAACATCAAATCATTTGTGATTAATCAACAGGCAAAATCTTTTATCACCTTTCAATTAAAACCAATGTACAAAGTACAATCCTTTGATCATCCGATAATACAGTCATCTGATTTTTATTATTCTCGCTAGTCGCTAGGAGTCCAAACTGCCAGGTGTTGTAAAAAATGTAGTCTTCCATTTTTTTTTTGACGATCAACTAATAAGTGACAGTTGTATTACATAGTCTGGTCAGAGAACAATTGATAAATCATATTTCGTTGAAAATTGAGGGGAGGAATGTTGACATGGATCGTTATTTTTCTTAATGTGTTGGAAAGAAATGAGAGAGTTATGGAAACATAACTTGGTTAATTTTGATTCTTTTTCAATACAGTAGATGATTCCAAAGCTGAGAAAAAATTATTCAAGCTCTGGGTCCGAAAGAAACCAAACAATTATTATCATCCGTGTTATGCTCCGGAAGTTTAAAAAAAATTATTTTTTGGAAAATTCGAAAAATGTTAAAAATGCGACAAAGCTAGTATGATTATTTGTACTTTTAATCGTTTTATGAAAAACTTTCCGGTGTTTTGACCTGCCTAATATCTGAAAAATCAAAGAATCGTTGGTCGTGGGAAAGATATGAAAAAGTTTCAACCAACAAATTATTTTTGACATAATAACGAACATTTTGACTGTTTGCCAGTTCTCGATATCTGGTTCAGCAACTGAGATATATGACGAAGTTGACGGTTTGAGGGTTTTCTGCATATTAGACTATTTACGGTTTTTGTTGTTCAAAAAAATTGACTGGGATTGCCATCAACCTAACACTACTTTGGAATTTCCTTCTGATTGAATGTTATTAGAAACCATCCAAAATTCCTTCCAGTCCCCGTTACTCATTTCTTCAAGTGCTAATCTACTTATCATCTTCCATCACAAAAGGGCGCTTATTCGCACATTCGCTTCGCATCCTTTCTTCCTTTTTTTCTCTTTCTCTTTTCCGTCTTCTCATTATTTTTCTCTGGGCGCTCTTAGGGTTGCTAGGAGCGACCTCTTCACTCTTCCGTGCTCCGCCCCCCGCCAAATGTGTTTCGAAGAAAGTTGAAAACAGAGAGTGAATGGGAAAGAGGAAGTAAATCAAAGATGTCAGATGTACTTTTCTGAAATAGAACAAATTCAACGGAGAAAGAAAAGCGATATATCGGAACAGAAAGACGATTAAAATACTGGGAAGTAGCACCGGAGCTAAAGAGTTTCACATTCAGACATATCTGGAGAATTAAATATAGTAAAATATGTTATAGGAAGGCCTCTAGACTGCCAATTTTTTATTTCAATTATTTCGATTCCTGAACAGATATCAAAAATGTGTCAACTGATGAAAAACTTCTGATATTATAGTAAACCGTTCACCAATTGGCAAATTTTTTTATATCTTTAACAGAACCCGCTGGAAATCTGGTTCAACGTTAAAAGAAAGGAATGTATTTTATTACAGGGTTTACGGTAACTTGAAGAGCAACTGATTTTTTAGCATATTCGGCCATGATCTTGTATTTTATGAATTAGATTTTTTTTCTTTTTTTTTCTAATTTTTTCACTCTCTTCTCCAAACAAAATCATTCATTCACTCGAGAAAATCAATCGAACCATACAAATTCATATAATCAGACATCAGAATCGTTACTTTCTTGGCTTTCCATCAATCCTCCGTGATCTTTGTGCCCTGGAAACTTCTTCACATCGTCGACCGAATTGTCACGCATTCTCTCTATCATTCTTGTGATATCCCTTTCTCGGAGAGCATTTGTGCGCCAATTGCGGAGTCTTTGAAACATGAAGCGTCCAAGCAATCCAAAGAACACGCTGATGCAGACGAGAATCAGCAGCGAGAGTAAAACAAGCCATGGTAGGACACATTTCCACTTGGTTTCGAGGATAGCCTTGGCCGCGGTGGAAGCGGCGGTGACGGTGTCGTTGTTGGAGACGAACATTGGTTTTCTGAAAGAAGGGTTGATGTAAAATCTTGTGAAACACATAACAAGAAAAATACAGAAAAAAAATCTTCAGTTGAAAAATGGCTCAATGAGCTACTGGCATTATTTCTGTCTGTGAAATTGAAACTCTTCTACAAAATTCCAACTCTCAAGTCCTCAAAAAAGACTTTGAAAAATAGCTCAACAAAAATTATACTGAACGCCAAAATTATAGCCGGCGGCGTTCGTACAGAAAGCAAAATTAGGGAGAAGTCAGTTGCCATCTGGCAGAGCCAAAAACAGATCTGCCAAACCCAAGGGAATCTGTGGTAAGATGTCGTAAACTGAAAATTTGATCAGCTAGCAGGCGAGAAGTAACTATGTATTAGAACAGAAGGAAAGGTTATGATAAAAGAACAGAGCTTTATTTTCTGATTCTATCTAAGCCCAAAAGTATATGAAAGCTGAACACTTGAAATCTTAGTTTTGTCGTCCTTGACATCTCCAGACGTTTGGGGGACGAACAACGTGCTCTAGACACATGTAAGCCTACAAAATAGAACAATAAATATAAATTTCTGGTCTGTATCTACATATGGATGATTTTGTGGGAGACAATTCTATTTGTAATAAACAGAGAATGTCTGTAAACAAATGAACATGAAGAATGTATATTGTTCCGCGTGGGTGCAGCTCTACAACTTGCGTTTATTTTTTCACTGACAATTGTGGAAACGTTGCCATTTTGGGAAAATTGATCTTGGATTTCTGGGAAAAGAGAATAAAAATTTTTGAAAATGTAGAGTCGTCCTCCAGTCGTCAATGGTTTCAACATGAAAATGATATATTGACATTTCAAAAATAGGAATATGCGTTGGTTACTATTTAGTTGTCAAGTGAGAACCAGTGGAGTCTGGAGAAGCTTCAAATGTCATTGGCAAGGAATAGAAAGACTACGGTAATTACAAAAAGTCTGAAACCTACCCTAAATCCTGTATATAAAAGCTTCCACGCGGTCAAATTTGAGCCATTATATCTCATTTCTTGTGAAAGATATAAGAATGTTGTCAACTGATAAATTGTTAATTGTAAAAGCAGTAATCTTTTGACAGTTGAAACATTTTTGATATCTCGCACAGGAATTGAGATAATTGAGCTCAAAATTTATAGGTGGCATGTCAACAGATTCATTATAGTTGCCTGGTGCATCTACCCTCCAACTCCTTCTAAAGTTCCCTCTACCCACGCAACGACACTCCGCTATCCCGCTCGGCGCGCGCACAGTTTAAATTTAGTTTTAAGGGATTGCGAGCTTGGATTTGGCTCGTAGTTTTTGAGAGACTCTTTTTAAGGATTTCAAGTGAGCTTGCTTGAATTCTAAGCTTGTATTTGTTGTTTCTTTCTAACTTGTTCATAATAAACCGATTTTGTTACATTTCTTGTCGATTTTCTTCTATTTTATCACAGGAACCTGATACCCCGGACATACCGCGGGCAATTTGGGGGCCGAACCGTTTATTTTATCCGTTTATCCGTTCTTTTACTTCTTTCCCGTTGTTTTTGCATCAATTCTCTCCAGAGTTTGAAGGATATAGTGAGAGGATTGTTGTGAAAATTAGTGAATTTCGCAAGAATTTTTCCGAGTTTGAAGGAACCGGCAGGAAATTCTTGTGAAATTTGCGAAGAGGACATTCGTGCAGGTGAAGGCCTAGCGAATAGTTCGATCAGGTGAAGGCCTGTCCAAAAGACGCGATATCCGTAGAAGATTCAACAAAAGCCCAACATTCTTTTGAAGGAAAGATTTGTTTTCAGGCTTGGAGATGACGACGATCGGGAGCAAGTCAAGAAGCAACAAGGACAAGTCGGTGGATTCCGAGAAGAGTGAAGCGAGGACGACGACGATGGAGAGCTGGGCAGATGCGATGCAGAATCAGGTAACGCTGAGAGAGCGAAAGAAGCTTGTCAAAGGTTATGCTGATTTCATCGGAACCAGTGAGACAGTCGTGGAGAGTGTGCGTGAGCAGTTGGGCGTGCACAGCAAATGTTCAGAGAGACAGAAAGATGTGATCGTGAAGCCAATGAAAGAGTTTGTCAGCGAATTGACAAAGCGCTACAACGAGCTGGGCAGTGGAAAGTGGGAGCGCGTTGTGATGCGCATAATGCGAGAAAACGGGCTGGAAAAATTGGAAGACTTGCGGGATGCGGTCTTGCCGGATGATTTGACAGCGAGCGCAAAAAAAAATACTGAATCAAAAGTGTTTCATAACCAGTTGAAATTGTTGCAGGAAAAATGGACGAAAGAGCAGGCGGAATTCGAGGAAAATCTGTATCGAACAAGCAGAGAAAAAGAGGTGTTGGTGGCGAAGCTCGAGGAAGCGTGGAAAGCCGCCGAAAAGGCAGAGGAAACGATCGAGGAGCTGGAAAGGGCACTGCTGAAGGAAAGGAAAACGTCGGAAAAATGGAGAAACCAATTGGAGCACGCGGAAGGTAAGAAGAAAGAAATACAGTCAAGAAATAAAGAGAAAACTCAGGTTCATGCAAGGAGATCGCCGTCAAGGAGTTCTAATGGTTCGTCGGTGGATTGGCCCGATGAGAGAAAGGAGAGAAAAAACGGTGAGTATTTGTATAAGAAGTGTGACCTGAAGAATGATCGAAGTGAAGACTGGCGTGTGAAGGTGAAGAATTGAGAAGTGAAGAGCAGTGTGGGGGATTTTCCGGAAGGAAGTGTGCGAGTCAGCGAAAGAAGAAAGTGTGAGCGCGACAGTGAGAGATGTTCGCGAGTGTCACGGGACAGTTCGCGAATAATGGTGGAGTGTCTGAGCAGAATGATAAGGGCGTCAGCTCTGCCAGAGCCTGAGAAGTTCGACGGGAAAGGAGACGTCAAAGAATTCAAGAGATCGTTCCTGTTGAAATACAAAGCGGTCACGGAGAAAGACGCAGATATGGTGCCGATTTTAGAGGATAAATTTCTGAAAGATGCTGCTAGAACGTTGTTCAAAACGCTGCCGAATCGATTCGATCGATCGATCGAGTCGCTTTTCGAAGAGTTTGAAGAGAAGTTGAGATGGAGGCAAGGAGATCGTGAGGCGGAAGCTCTCAACGAGTTTGAGGAGCTGAAGCGAAAGCCGAAACAGCCGATGTGGGAGTACCTGATGGACGTGGAAAAGTGGTCGAAGCGAGCGTTTCCCCTTCTTGAAGAAGAGACAATGTCACAACTGAGAGTCACGAAGCTTATAAGAGCGCTAAGGGAGGACCCGACGATGCAAAAGTTGATGACGATGAAGCGATATGAAGTGGCAAAAAAAAGACCAGTACGAGTTCCTTAAGGATATCGTTCTTCAGCAAGAGAACGAAGACAAGAGAAGGCAGGGGCTCGGAAAATCGTATCGACACGAAAAGAAGGAAATGAGCTGAAAAAAGGAGGACAGCAAGGTTGCGAAGCAAGATAATGCTGAAGCGAAAAAGGAAGAATCAGAAGGCAGTAGCAATGGGAACAGAAGTAAGAGTGGAGACCAGAGGAAGGCAGCGATAAAGTGCTATAGGTGTCAAGAAAGTGGGCATATAGCTAGGGACTGTGATGCAAAGGTTATTCATCACGTGGAAACTGATGGAACAGGACGCGGTGTGGCGCGAAAATGAGGGAACAAGTACAGTTGTTGGGTCAGAAGCGCTTGATGGTTATCGACAGTGGCGCAGAAGTATCGGTCATGTCGACAAGAGTGTGGGAGGCACTGAATAAAGGATGTGAGAGCTGGAGATGTAAGATCGAAGTACTGGCGAATTCGTCGTGAGGAATAAGTCAGGAAAGAATATGCCAGTGAAAGGACAACTGAAGATTCCAATCATGGTGAGAGGAAACAAAGCTAATGTGTGGTTCCAACTGGTGGAAGATAGAGCGGAAATTCTCTTGTTGGGAACGAATGCTTTTGAAAGTATCGGTGTTGAGTTGGCGTGGAAGCCAAAGCAAGAAAAGCGCGTAAAGAAAGTGGGAAAAGGTCCAAAAGCGAAATGGGAGGAAAATACTGAGCGTGGGAAGTGTGAGAAAAGAAGCGCTACAGTAAACCATATCATGACTGAAGGAACAATAATTTTTGCAACAGGAAGCTGATGGAAAATGGTTGCGGATGTCAAAAAGGAAAGTGCACAGTCCAAGAAGGAGACAACTTTTGTTCACGTGTGCAACAACTCGGAGTGGTGCTGTCAGCAAAAGGAAAAGGTGTGGATTTGGAGAAATGGAATTTGTTAAAATATTCCAAAGAATTTCAGGCACAAGTGACAACGGCTGAGAAGGTAGAAGCGTCGCGGAAGTTCGTCAAGGAGTGTCCGGAAGTGGTAGAGTCCGTGATGAAAGAAGGAACAAACGGCGAATGGGAAGAAGCGGCGATGAAGATCAGAGTGGCGCTGAAGAGTGAGATGAAGCCAAATAAGACAATCATCAAAGAGCCAGCAGTGATAGCTTCCCCGAGATTGAAAATCTCGGGAAGAAGGAACATTCTGGAAGTTCGGAATTCGCATGGAAGCGATTTCATGGAGAAGTACGAGTGGAAGAAGGTGAAGAATGTGCTATGGCTGTGGAGAGTCACAAAGGACAAGGGTATTGTAGTAGTTTAGGTTTAGTAAGAGTTTAGCAGGTTAAGTACTGTAGGTATTTTATTGTAATGTTGTGAGTGTGAGTAGGTGAGGTGCGGTAGCAAAGAGTGTAAGGGTCGGAGAAGAATGTGAGTCGTGGCGAAAGTCATACCTTTCTCCGGTCAGGGGTCCGGATTTCTAGAGGAGAGGGAAGTTGCCTGGTGCATCTACCCTCCAAATCCTTCTAAAGGTTCCCTCTACCCACGCAACGACACTCCGCTATCCCGCTCGGCGCGCGCACAGTTTAAATTTAGTTTGGAGTGATTGCGAGCTTGGATTTGGCTCGTAGTTTTTGAGAGACTCTTTTTAAGGATTTCAAGTGAGCTTGCTTGAATTCTAAGCTTTTATTTGTTGTTTCTTTCTAACTTGTTCATAATAAACCGATTTTGTTACATTTCTAGTTGATTTTCTTCTATTTTATCACAGGAACCTGATACCCCGGACGTACCGCGGGCTATTTTATGATAGTTGCAGTTTTTGACATGCCGTAAAACCTCTATAAATCTGATACAAAAAATCGGAGCTGTTGAGGATAATTTTCGGTGGCCACGACTTAAGGTCCCAGAAAATTACCGTAACCGAAAAGTATTGTTATTTTCCGAATTTATTTTCTCAATTTTCTTGCTTTGTCAATCAATTTTTTTCACTGCCAACTTTGCAACTCGCCTCAAGGAAAATAACCTAAAAATTGAAAAAGCGGAAAAAATAAAAAAAAGCCAAAAATTTTTTTTTTTGAAATTGCGCTAGAGTTTGTTGTAGGACCTTCGGCCGCGGCCACCAAAGTTATTGTCAATAGCTCCGATTTTTTTTGTTTTATAATTTTTCAGATTGACTAATTCACAGTTTTGTAGTCTAAATTTCTATAGAACACATTTTTTCCGTTAGGAATAATTTGTTTATTGTCACATTCGAGGTTCAGACTACAATAGAGGTTGGAAAATCAAAAATGCTTATTCTGTGAATTTTCGCTGAAATTGTGAACATGGTAAATAAGCCGAGCGATAGCCATGCGAACCAATTAATGTTTTTGGGAACTCTGAAAATTGAATTTTTTAGAAGGATATACTATATTTCTTTTGATAACATCCCACCCAACGCTTTCACTTTGAGCCAAAATATCTCAACTACTGTGAAAGATATGAAAATCTGTCATCTGATAAAACATTTATAATTTTATGGTTAAAATTTTATCATTTGACAAACTTTTTAGATATTTCACCAGAATCAAGACAATTGAGCCCAAGGTTAACTCTTGGGATGGATTTCGATTAAAGGAAACTTCAAATTTCAAACTCACAGTAATCAAACAGACCGGATACCAGTGAATGTTCCGGTGCGAGCTGCATCTGCTCGGATCTTCTCCGCGTTCGCCTTTTGTCTCGCTACTTCCGCTTTCTGTTTTCTTTCAATTTCCCTCCATTCAGCAACAGGAGCATGACTTTCAAACTGACGCCCAGCTTGTCTGTTTCGTTCCATACGATAATTGAACCACGAGTTGTGAACATGGTCTTTTAGATTCCGTGAATTCCGAGCAATAGCAAATAACAACGTGTGTCGGAAGCAGAATACGATTGTTGCAAACACCAAGAAGATGAAAATTGCGCAAGTTAACACAATTACCTCTAATTCCAATTTGGTGAACCTTTTTTCCAATGCATCAGGACTGATATAATCTTCTAACATTTCTGAAAAACTTCTTTACATTGTTGTAAAAAAATCCACAAAAAAGTACTGGATGATTGAAATTTGAAATTCTTAAGACACAATCTCTGAGAAATTCGAAAACACCATGGCAATGGAAAAAATCAAAATAGTCCTAGGAGTCTGATATTGTATGTGGTATAGGGGCTACTCTAAAACTTTTGACCATGGTACTCATAGGCCACACCCCCTCCTGGGTGCGAAATGATACCGTAACCCCGAAAAATTATTTTTGTTAAAAATAATGATATCGACTCAAATGTTTCAGATTTGAATTTCTGGTACTATTATGTTCATTTTTTTGTGTTGGGACCGATTTTCTACAGTAACCCTGAAGTAGAGAAAATTTGGTTCGGTAAACACAGGCCGATTTTTGAGGAATTTCCAAAAAAGTAAAAAAAAAACCCAAAAAGTGAAATTTTCTCTACTTCAGGGTTACTGTAAAAAATCGGTCCCAACACAAAAAATGATCATAATAGTACCAGAAACTCAAATCTGAAACATTTGAGTCGATATCATTATTTTTAACAAAAATAATTTTTCGGGGTTACGGTATCATTTCGCACCCAGAAGGGGGCGTGGCCTATGGGTACTATAGCCAAAAGTCTTAGAATAGTCCCTATACCCACCACATACAATATCAGACTCCTAGGACCATTTTGAATTTTTCCATTGCCATCGCCTGTTGACCCGATCTCAATTCTCTCAGAGAATGTGTCTTAAACAGAAGAAATTTTTTGAAGTTTATCGAAAAAATGAAATGGGGACTGTAGTATGTAACTAAACATTGTAAATCAAAATTGAAAACCATATTATTCTTCTACAAGAATATGGAACTGTGAAAGAGAAAAGCCGATGGCCGTGACCAACGGTATCACAACGATCACTACAGTAACCTATAATTGTTTTAATTACCTTAAACCTGTATTAGAAAGGTCGGCTTTTCTATTGTTCCAAAGTACCTCCGGATGACCCTTCTGTTACAGGGGCCCTTCAATTAGAGGAGGCCCTTCTATTTTTCCGGCCAGTTTTTCCGAAATTGAACATCGAAAAATTCTACGAAGTTTCGTTCAAAATTCATGAAAATCTGTCAATTTCTACAATATATATTTCAACAAAATATAAGATTTTTAACGAAAAATAGAGTTTCAACAAATTTCTATTAAATTGTAGAGTTCCCGGAACATTTTCCACTGAAAAAGTACGGGAATTTTCTGATTTCAAAACACATTTTAAAGGGGATCCTTTTTCACAGAGGGTCATGTTATTACGCGGGCCCTTCTATTTCAGGTGGCCCTTCTATTTTTCCGAGCCCTTCACGAAGGGCCTTTCTATTAGATTCCTTCTTTAATACAGGTTTTACGGTAATTGGATTTAGTATCTCGTTCTTTTGACTATAACAACGTTTAATTTTTCGACTTGTTTAGGGCAAAGCAACACAAAAATTTACAAAAATCGATAGGAAACGAGAAAATAAATCCTGAAAATTTTATATTTTAGGTTACCGTACTTGTCGTTATGTGACCAACCGTTGTTTCTCTTCAACAGCTGTGTATTATTTTTGATCTTGATAGTACAAACTCAAAAAGCGTCTACAATTAAATTTCATGGATTATATGTAGTCTATTCCTACATTTTATGAAATCACTCTTACTGTTTGACTTGTAGTTTTTTGGACTGAAGGGTAATTATTGTCACATGATTTGAAAAATTGGAATATTGTTCAACGATCTTTTTGAAAAAGAGTCTAGTTGTGAGAAAATTGGAACAGATTTTCTCGATTGTTTTTCTGATACTGCGAACTTTTGGAATTTGAAAAATTATTAATTACTTATTTCGAAAATTTCATAAATTGAAAAAAATCATGAATTGTTCTCGAAATCCCTTTTTGGGCATTGTCGAAAAGTAAAAAGTGGAGTGGTCTAGAAGGCATTTATGATTCTAAATTTGCTAGCTGAACAGACGGAGAATGTGGGTCCTCTATAATCAAACGAATTCTAAAATTTCATACTACGTACATTATACTCGGGAAAATCATGAAAACTCATATCCCGAAATTCCGAAAGAAGGATAAGATTAGTTTGTTAAAAGAGAAAAAAAACGTTTGAAATGAGATCCGATGAAAAGAATGATAATCGAACAAAAAAAAAAGAGGATTAGGATTACTTATTTTATTGAAAAGTTTTATCAGGAAAATCTCTTTTTACTTGTCAAGTAGAATTGTAAAAAATCAGTTATCTAGTTACAATTACAAGCATTTGGGGAGGGAGTCTGAAAACAGGGGTTTGGTGGAAATTGATGCGACTACCCGAGAAAAATACTGAGCTTCTTCTAGACAATAAAGGAAATTGAATAGACAGAAACTGTCAGATATTGTGGCAGGGTGGGCAAGCTGACGGAATGGATGATTGTATTATCTGCGTCATGACGCGTTTGGATGTTAAAACACACGAAAAGAGCAATTTTGAAAATTTCAAGCTATTGACCTCACAATTTTTTCTCATACTTTTTGCCTATTTTTGTTTACGAAAATAAAGATCGATCAGTCCGAAAGAAGTTTTTAGAAATCTGGGAAAGTTCAGTATGTTTTCATGCATTACTTTATTTTATTAAATCAAAACATGGAATATAAATTTTTCAAGAAGATTCTGGAAAATTATAAATTTTCGAAAAAGTCATAGATCAACGGGATGAAAAAAAAACTACTGTATTGAGTGGAGAAGAACAGTAACATATATATATATATCATTTCCAGTTTGAAAAATCAAAACATGGTCAACAGACTTAATGTTTATGATAACATCAGAAAAAAATTTGTCAGTTGCCTCCTTTTAGATATCTCTCACACGAAGCAAGATAAATTGGCTCCAATTGAAAATAAATAGAAAGGGGGGGGGAGGGTCATTCTATCAGTGAGTACATTATTTGAAGTTTAATCGAAAACAATAAAATTGCCACTGCAAGAATCTTCTGAATGTTTTGTCATGTGTGCTAATTTCTTACAAGTTAGTTTACAAAGTTTTGACATTCAGAATTTGGGATAATTGGGTTCGAAGAAGTTTGAAGGGAAGTATCGGAGTAGAACTTAAGGGGCAGTGAAGTATTAGAAATTTTGAGAATAAAACTAGAGATAAAGGTGAGAGAAAAGAGGTGAATAAAAGAATATGTGTGAAAGATAATATTGGGTTCAGCAAAAAATGGTAAGAACTATAAAATTGGCGCAGCTTTGATAAATTTGATGATTGACATTTAAAAAAGCCAGATAAATCTTCGGATAATAACTTGAAACGAATAGTTTGCGCATCGGAATATTGTTTACTATGCATTTAAAAAATCTTGAAAGCTTTTCAATCAGAAAAATATGTATAAAATGAAAAGAACCAAACGAAGCATGAAATATTGCCAATGAGCTAGCTTAAAAGGTTTTTTTTTAATATCTGGACATAGAACCTAAAATTGTATTATTCTCTTTTCTCCTGAAAAGTCAGAAATTTGAAAAATGACTCACCTTGAATGTGGAATATGTATCTTATCAGAAAGATAAAAATAGTGAAGCCTGCTAATTGAACAGAGAAGAAATAGAATGACACTTTCCATTGGTCGAAGTGAATATTGTTACTATTGGAATATAGATTTGAAAACATCTTTCTGGAAAGTGTAGTCTCCAGAAAGGGCAATAGTAAAAACCATAGATAAAGCAGATTGAATTAATAGAATTTTAAGTTTTTGAAGACATGAAACGCAGTTCATGTTTCAAATGTATGACCAGTTATCCGGATTCCGGAACTTATAGCCAGAATCTTCTTTTTTCTTGTTTTCTGTACTTGCCTTCTTGTTTTCTGTACATCCTGCTGGTGCAGGGCTTTCAGCTGCTGCGACATGTGCCACCGGACCTTTTTCCACTTCGTTTGCCGGGGTGTTGTGGTTTCTTGGAGTTGGATTTCCGCAGAGCTTCTTTTGCAAGAAGTTCTTGCAAAAGCAGAAGAACGCCCAAACACATCCAAGCAGTGAAGAATATCGAAACACCTCCTCATCTTGCCGAAATAATGAACACTGAGACGGTTGGACTATAGAATTTTCCGGATCCTGCTGCAAAATCATATTCACAATGAATTGTGTTGTTTTCACAAGTTTTTTTCAATGTGAAAAATCATAACTTCTACCAGATTTTTTATTTGTTTTTGAAAAATGTCATCAAAAATCAGGATCTTCAAAATTCTACCCAAATTTTCAAAATTGAAAAAATACAGGTATTTCTAATTTTTTCTCTAATATGTTCGTACAATTTGAATTCAATCATTTTTCTTTATAAAAGAGATATCAAAAAGTAGTCCACTGATAAATTGTTCATGATAATATTACAAACATTTTATCAGTTGCCAACTTTTTGATATTTTTTATAGGAACTTAGTTAATTTAGCCCAAAGTGCAAATATAGGGTGGGATCCGTACGAGTACGGTGCTCCGATTTTGAAAATTCCAGAAGACTTGCGTGCGCCTTCAACATACCGTACTCTGAAATAATTCTTTTTTTTTTAGAATTTTAGTATTAAAAAACTCCGAAATGTTTTGTAAATCAGACTATTAACTTGAAAGTAAAAAAGAGAATCAAAAACTACTGACGAAACAACATTTCCTAATTTGTTTTTTCCCGTTTTTCAAAAGTTTATCGCAAACAATTGAAGTAAGCTTTTGGATGAGAAGCAAACATGAGCAAGCCTTTTGAGGGGTACGATCTTAGGTCATCCCTACAACAACCAACGTCACATCCCCTTTACCACTAGTTCAGAATCTTTACACAGATCCACGTCATGAACGTATTTCGCAACATTCACACTTTGCTAAAATCGTGTTCCTCTCCATACTACTACAGTACCCCTCGTTTGCTTGCTTTAACAACACCCCCGCATTCTCCTGATACTAAAACACCAATAAAATTCACTCATAAAAATGAAATCATCCATAAAAATCCATAAAAACGCTATTGCTCTCAGCTTTTTTGGTTCGGTAGTACTGTAGTCATCCATCCCCCCCCCCCCCTTCTTTCCCCTTAACTCACCGAGCAGGATGTTCACAAGGAGGCGATCCGAGATGAAGGCGAATCCAAGAGAGCAAAATTGTCAATAATTATAAAAGAATAGGAAGGAGGAAAAGAAAGAGGAAAAAGTTAAGAGAGAGAAAGGAGTTTCAAAAACGAAATGAGTAAGTTGGGAATGTGTTGGGGCGGGGTATCTAGCAATTATCAAAAGTAGCTTGTTGCTTGGCACATTTTCCAGTTGTTGACTCCTCTTGAAAACATAGGTAACAAAACGAAAGGAGATGGATAAGAAGGCAATATTAGTGCAATTACCGAAAAACCTGAAATAGATGGGAGCTCCAGCTTTGAGCCAATTTATCTCGGTTTTTGTGAAAGATTTCAAAATGTTGCCAACTGACAAATTTTATGAGATATTATGATAAAAGTGCTGTCAGTTCGGTATCTGATATGATGTCAACTTTTTTGAACTATGACTTTATAATATGGGATAATGAGCTGTGGTCTTCCAATGATGCGATGTATAAAATTTACTAAATTCAAACACTTTCAACAAGAAACAACAGTCATTGATGAAATTTGTGGCCAAAACTTGTTTTGATATCTGGCATAAACCACGACGTCCGCTCCCTTTGTTCCCAGCCCAGTTAATTGCCATTTGTACTGCATGGTGCTGCCCAGACGCTCTTCCGATTTGTAGAGGACCGTGATTTTGGTTTCCTCCCTGAGAGAAGAAATGATATCTGCCGTTTGATCTGTAAAACAAACAATGTAAGTACAGTATCCGGTCCATGAGAAAAGAAAAAAGCGTTTTTCAGTTGATTTTAACAATTTTCACTAGTCTGGAGCTTGGCTGTAAAGTTTCCGATCATTTTGAACATTTCAGAGAGTTTAAAACAGACCTACTCGGGATTTCCTCGTGCCTTTCTGCAGCAGTTGGAAGGTTTTCTCGACTTTCTGCTGCATTATGAGGCATCTCTCGACTTTCTGTAGCAGTTTAAGCGCGTTGCGTGCTCGCAAAGCGTGCGATTTTTCGTTTTTTGATGACTGCCGGTGAAGTATTAACTGGTAATTTATGTATTTTCGTTTTCCAAATTTGTGACTAAAATTTTCATTGCTTTTTTTTGCGAATTTTGCGAAGTTTATGTGAACTTTTCACAGAATAGTCGAAATGGAGTGGACGAAAAGGAATCTACGGTGACGATTAGAGTTGAGGAAAACGAGTCATCGGAAACATAATTTTCACAAAGATTATTAGGTAAGAATTAATCTTAATATTTCAGACAAATATTTCAGAGAAAATGGAACCAAAATAAGAAGACATTATTTGACTAATGACGATATTTTTTATGTTTCGGAAGATTCTAAAGGATAACGAAAACTGTTGAAACCAAGAAAATCTCGAAATTTCACAAAACTATCGATTACTTAATGATTTTATAAGGGACAGATTCGAGGAGATTAAAATGCGAACATTTTTTTGAATCGGCATACTGAAATAAAACAGGAAAACCGGTAATCGAAGCTTTCTCGGTTAGTGAATCATCAAATTTTTTTCAGGTTGATGTTCTTATGGAATATATACCGAATTTCAACGGAACTAAAATGATGAAACTATGGAAACACAATTTTTTTATTTGAATTTTTTGGATCTTTGCGGAATATTTGGACAGAAATGTGTTTGGGACTTAATCGAAGCGAGCGACTTAGAAAAAATTTCGAATGAAAAGCAACTTTAATAACAAGGAAGAGCGGAACACTCATAAAAATAAGACGACAGGAAACGTTTCTTGATTTTACTGATTTTTCACGTATTGTGTGTTTTTTTTTCTTTGTAGGAGAAATTATCCGGAAAAAATGACAGATAATTAATCTTCTGTGATTACTGTAAAAATTGTAAAATAACGTTCTCTGTAGCAGAACATAACCCCAAAGTACCCCTCCGAATTAACATAAGGCTATGGCATTATATTGCAGTTTTCACGGTAAACCTGCCTACTGTACCGAATTTTCTTATTTGGAATATTTTTTCAGTTTCTAGTGGACCACCGATCAAATTGGATATCAAACTGATGTTGTGGATATTTATGTTGATTCGATTCGAGATACAGTTTTCTACGGTGGAACGTCTAAAAAATTGATGATGCCAGCGAAAATCTCAATGAAATAATATGTACCTATCCTTCAAACTTCTGAATGCATATTTTTTTCAATTGTACTTTTTTACAACTTCAATAAAATGCTAATTTAAATTTGTTATTTTTTAATACGAGTAAAGGGAAAGGAAAGAAGCGAATGCTCGCGCGGCAGCGCTTACGCCACCTTTCTGTAGCAATTCTGTCGACTTTCTATAAATATTCATAAAGAAGTCGACAGAACTACTGCAGAAAGTCGTCAGGAAACCCCGAGTAGATTGAACACTTTGCATTAGCAAAATTTTTTGAAATTTCCTAGTTTTCAGCTATTCGTGATTTTTGGAAGACACATCTTTTTGGCTCCTTTACAGAAAACGGGAAAAAAAAACTGAAGAGTTCTATGAATCGACAAATATCAGGAAAATGAGTGATATTCAAAAAGTTCTGTAAATGCAAACTTTTTGAACTAGATCAGTTTACAACCCTCTAAAGTTTTCAACGTAATTGGAAACTTGACATCCTTGCTACAGACTCCTAGAAATGGTCATATTTTTATTCTTACCTCTATCGAACACGTAGTCGCATGTACGAAGCTCAAATGTAGGAGTAAACAGGTCGGAGATCAGGTAGAAGTCGCGGCTGGCCAGTTTCTCCACAAAATTTGAGAGGACTTTGTCGTATCCCGGGAACTTCTTCGTGTAGTTTGGATTCCGTGTGTTTTCAGTACATGTGAGGACACATCCATTCTCCAACTTGTTTTCTTTCTTGTTCAAATAGTAATCGATTTGAGTTCTATTCTCTCCGTGGTCTGGATCAAGTGATGCGACAAATCGAATGGCGGAACCAACATCTTGGACTAGGTCCACCTTCATTTTGTAGTTATGCGGACGGGGATCTGCTTGTGAATGTGCCTTTATGAATTTCTCTGAAAAAAGCAGATTTCAGAAAGAAATTTGTTTTTTACAACTCACGTCTTTCAAAGAAGTTCCCGCAGGTATCGTGGGAATAATCGCTTGTATACAGATCCTTTAATAGATTCATACTTCTCGATGTGAAAGCCTTGACCATTTTTTCCACAAAAGTTTCGGCAGTTTTCTTCATTTCTTCCTCGCTGAGTGGCTTCCTCGCTGAGTTCTCACCGCCGGCTCCAAATGGCGCGACTTCTTTGCAGCTGTTGACGATTGCTCGTAAGAACTTTCCTCTGAACATATTAATATAAACGACGGTGTGGAGCTGAGATTGTCCTAGACCTTTGATTGCAAGTGGAATCTTCCAGATTCCATTTCCAGAAATGTCTTCCTCTCCGACTGGCGACAGTTCAAATTTTGAAGGGTTTGCTTTTTTAACAAACTCTTCAAATATTGATCTGATTCGGTCTAAAAAAAGAAATTTCAGACAATGAAGTTACCGTATTCTCTCTAAAAGAAGTCCATTCCATACTTGCAAAATCAGGGCAGGGCCGAAGATTTTTAGGGCTTGGCCCTGCCCGGGCCCAGGTTTTCCGAATTTGAAATTTTTTGAAATTTCAGACATTTTTTCAAATTTTTTGTGAAAAAACTATTTTTATGGACACTTTTATCTTGAAAAGTTTTTTACTTGACAGAAAAATCGTCCTTTTTTCAGTTGACCCCGAAAAATTTGTTTCTGAAAACCCGGGCCGGGCCCATGACCGGGCCGGACCTGGAAATTCCGAAAAAAAAAGCCCGGTCCGGCCCGTTGCAAGTATGGTCCATTCAAACTGTCTTAAGCGCAATTATCTCGATTCCTAAGAGAGCCATCAAACTACTGTCTATTTATAAAATATTAATTGTATTATGATGAATAATTGATTCATTCACAAACTTCTATATCTTTCACAGGAATCGAGCTGTTTGAGCTAAAAGTTGACGGCACGGGTAAGATTTTATTAGATGAAGTACGGTACTATTATTTTTACCTTTGGTCATGGTTTTTGCGCACGTGCGAAACTGAAATCCGTCATCCAACAGCTTCATGGCTCCTTCGACATTTTGGGCTTGGATGGATTTCGTGAATACAGAAAGTACACCATCAAAGTTGCCTGATGGCGTTGCCGATTCCAAACAACCGACGACGACGAGGAAGAGTAGAATAGAAAAGTTCATCTTCCTTCTGACTGATGCATTTTGTGGCTGTGAGTAGTGTTTTTATATTCACTGATTTTTCCTCTCGTTCCCATTTGTGCCACCCCCGCACACTGAGAATGGGAATGGTTTACGATCTGAATTATTAAGACATTTTAGAAATCATAAAAAGTAGATTGACAAATCAAAAAAAAAGTAGTCGAATGGGATAGAATATAAGGAGAATTGAGGAAAGATAGAATCAAAACTAGAAGTAGAGAATAAAGAGTGGAGCAAGAAAAAACTAATGATTCTGATGAATTGATTTGAACTAGTTATCCAAAGTCAACCTCCAAATATTTTTTCAACAGCAGTCATTCCAGGAATAATAGTTTTTACAACAATAATCAATTATTTTTGGAAGATGATTACTGTAGTTTTGCCGTATTCCCGGAAACTCTTCAACACATGATTTTGAATAAAATTTTAAAAAGATCAAACTTGGTTTGAACATTTATGTTAAGAAAATACTACATTCACACTAATATCAAGTCATTCTTCACCTGCTCTTTGAGCTCAATTATCTCGGTTCATTTAAAAATCACCGAAATTTTGTGAATTGATAAAATGTTTTCCGTGAAATTACCAAAATTTCGTCAGCGGACAAATTTGTTATATCGCTGAAACCGAGATAATTAAGCTTGAGCTGCACATACAGGGTAGGTTACTATTAGAAAATACGATAGTTGAATTTTGGATCATAATTCGTATGAAACACATAATGAGAAAGTATTCAGTGAAATGGAGCTTCTGCGTATTTCGATTTAAGTGCTTAAAGCCAATTTTTAAAATAAGCCAACAAACTATAATTCCACAAGCTCTGAGATATTGAAAAAAAAGCTATGCTATCATTTTTCTCATTTATCCAGGGATGTTCGGAATGGCCTTTTTCGATATTTCGGAAATTCGAAATTTTCCGATTTTCAAAAATTCGAAATTTCGGAATTTCGGAATTTTTCAAAATTTAAATTTTACAGCGGAAATTTTATTTTCCTATCAAAAAACACAAGAATCTTTCGAGAATTGACAGAAAGATTTTGACAGCCCAAAAAATATCAAATTTAATTCTGTTCGAGAACCGCAGGTAAATTTTTCCTGACATATTGTAGTCCGAAAATTTCAATTCCGAAAAAAATGCTTCGGAAAAATTCCGGTCGGAATTTTATTCCGAAAAAAAAAATCGAAAATATTTCGACCGGAATTTCATTCCGAATTTTTTTTCGGAATTATTCCGGTCGGAATTTTATTCCGAAAATGGTCGGAATTTTCGGAATTCCGAATTTCGTTCCGAACATCCCTGCATTTATCGCAACATGACCAGAAACAGTGTTCACTTTTGAGTTGATGAATTGCTCTTCCTCTTCCTTTTTTTTATTTGTCTTGGCATTTCTGTTGCCTTTTTCTGCAATCGTGATACACCCTGCTGCGTCACCCATTTTCTCTTTCTTCTCTTGAAACACTAACATTTTGGCGGTCTTTTTCTTGCTTTTCTTTCTTTCTGTATCCTTGTTTAACATTTCCTTGCTCTACATACCATAAAAACAACTAAAACTCACAAGAAAGACGTTAGCAAAATACTTACCCACTTACCTAGGACCATAGAGACACGCGTAATCTCGCACGGACCATAAAAACAAAACCCTCTGTCATTTCTCTCTGCCCTCTTATATTTCGTCCTCTCTATATCTTTCTACCTGTGTATGGCGAACGCTTGCCACCTCTTTAATGTGTTATGACTCTCGCACTCTCTCTTCCCACCACACACTCTTGCCCGGACCATTGATTGATGTCCTTTCGCATCCTTGTTGCGTCCCCCTTCTCGTCACAACACAACACATTTAACATTCAACGCATTCAACACTCTCGCTCTTTATCTCTCCTTCATTGTTTCTCTTTTTTCGCCAAGAAATGGCCGAAAATGACACAGTTATTTTCTATTAGATGCTCTAAAATGTATTCTTTATTTCTTCCTATTTTATGCTAAAATCTTCATGTCTAAGAAAGTTCATATTCGCAGGTAAGAATAAGAATGCAGCCAGAGGCGAAACGCGGACGCATCTTGGATGTGAGTTTGATTTGTTTAAGAGTTTTAAATTTTTCACAAGCGACTGAAGTCTGAGGAATTGACATCCCGGCGATTAATCACAAAAATATTTCAAAAAAAAAAAGGATCCGCTCAGCCAGTTATCGCACTGAGCGGTTCATTTGAATTTTGTGGCAATTTTTTATGATACCATTTAGAATAATTTAAATCTCACGGCATGCAATTTTCAGCCTGTGTCACTCGCCCGTCGTCGCTCTTCGGAACGCGATGTCCGCCACTACACCACACAAGAGATTCGTCGACAAGCAGCCGCACGCGATTCCAATCTATCGAGAAAGTCTTCTCGTGGTGGGCATCAGTCAGGCGCGAATTCCCGCGGTGGACATGACGAATCCAGAAAAGTAAGTTTTTCCCCCAGAATGCATTTCTGAAATGTTTCTAGAAAACTATTGTCTTTGTTCGGCGGATGTTCAATAAATTTATGGCTTGCGGCCATAACTTTATTAAAAGGAGCATCGGCGGCCGTGAAGCGAATACAGATACGGCTATTACAAATGAATTCATGCGTTTTGTATACAGTACTTTGGGATTTATTTAGTATCACCCTTTTTTGGTTTATTTTCTACTTCATAAGGGAATTCATCCAATTATCCATGAGAGTCGGAAGAAAATGAACAAAAAGCAAGAATCAGGAGATCATAGGCAAAAATCTCATACTCCCTAAGTACTGTATCAAAGGCGCGTGAATTTTTTTGTGAAACTGTAGTTGTTTTTGCTTCAATACCGACAATGCGTCTCTAAATAGATTTTTGACCACCGCCGGCGGACAAAAAAAATACTATCCAAAGGGTTTGCTAGCGAGGGTGCGAATTTTTTTAAAATTCTATTTTTCCAGAGCCGCTCGATGAAGAAACAGCGCGATCGAGAGCGTAGGAAGTCCAGAAGCAGTCGCTCTGCTAACCGATCGTCGTCTGTAGACCCTGGATACATCCCACATGCTACCTACCACAACTCCTATGAATCCGATGTTGCGTCCTACAAATATGGAATTCAGGTTGGTGAACATTCAAAAAAAATCTACACTGCTGAAAAACGCGTCGTCCAAGAATTATTCGAAAATTGAGAACTATCAATCCAAAAACCAAATAAAAAAAATATAAGATCATTCATTTCTCATGTTTTACACTTCCATATTTTCAGAGTAGCTCCTTTTCCAAAGCTCCTCCCTTCGATCACCATCGCTACTCCTCCGAAGCACCTCCCTTCGACCGCAGTCGGCTTAGTAGCGGCGACCGGTACGGACACGAAGCCGATTACGTTCATCATCGTAAGGTTAGTTAAGAAAATTGAGCATCTAGTACAAATTATACTAACTAGTATTCCCTGGTCAAAATTTAATTCAGCTAACATTCAAAGCAGAAAAACTAGGTTGATGAGAAATTTTATTTTACAAGCTGCTTGCAAGACAGCCAAAATCGCGTTGGAAATATTTGAAAATTGGGAAATTATCATTCCGAAAACCTAAAAAACAGTTCTTGAGCTCAATAAGTCTCATGCGTCTCTACGAAAGACTTTTTGTGATTCTCAATTTTCACGTTTCCAGAATCGCGCCTCGTCCGAAGCTCCGCCCATCCATCACAATCGTTCCACAGGTTTTGATGGATATATACATGAAATTGGCTACGCCCCGCCTCGCCGGGTGAGTTGCGAAAAATGAGCAGTTAATATAAAATATATCACTGTAGTCTGACGGCTCAGAGCCTTGCTGTCGGAAATACAGTCGACGCCCATCGTCGGTCCATTTGTGAAGAAAATGTAATTTTTTGCAATTCTGGAACTGACAGTAAAAATCTACAGAAAATCGCTTAAAAACTCATGAAGTGCTAAATCTTTAATACCGTACCTCACCATTAATTTATTTCGGCCTTTCCACGGCTGTTTTTCTATTTTATGAAAAAATTCAATCAAAGATTAAAGATAGTTAGACAAAAATTGTCAGAAAACGAGTGAAATATTTAGGGAAGTAGGCGAGAAAAATAATTTTGAGATACTGCTAGATCGATGATGCGCCAACTATTGAACTGTGTTTTTGGGGTTTTTTTTTGCAGCCATTAGTATGCCAAAGTATTTTTTCAAACGATCCACCACCATTTCATAAAACTACAATTATTTTCAGCACAATGAACACAACAAGCCTGTTTTCAAGCATCCTGGGGATTATTTTTCGACCGGAAGGTACAATTCTGCCAATGACTCACGCGTCGCAACGTACAAGCATGGGCTTCCATCTGCTGAAAACGTGAGCAAATAATTTTTTTTTAAATTTGAAATAGATTATACTCTCTGATAGAGAATTTGTCAACTTTCAACCAAATTATCACGGTTGATGTAAGAGATATTAGAAAAAAGCGAGCTGACAAAATATTTTCGTAAAAATGGTAAACTTTTTGTCAGTTAAGTACTTTTTGATATTGTTTACGAGAACTCAGATAAATTGGCTCAAAGTTAACGGATAGGGAGAAATTACTAGGAAAGTGTGGCAGACAATGTTGTTGAATATTTCGAATGAATTACCTATAATTTGATGTTTTCAGGCCTTTGACCCACAAATGACCAATGATCGCCATGGATTCTCAGAACGTGTAAGAGCTTACGATCTTGGTCAATACGGACACTTCGATTCTGAGGCGCCAAGAGGTCGCGCACGGGTGAGCTAATTCGAATAGTCAAAATTACAAATAGAAACCCAGCAAGGTATCTTATTTTTTAAGAAAAAAGGGTTCGAATAATTGCATTACAAAAACTCAAATCTTCTTTTAATTAGAAAGACTGATTTCGTTGTTCATTCAGACTTACTAGTCAAGTTATTAAGTGAGCGTGAGCTTTTTCTTAACAAAAATCCTCTATTAAAGACACCTGGCAATGAAAAATAATCCAGAAATGGTCAAATTTGAAGAAATGAAAATAATCTCCCACTGAATTTCGAATTTCGCAGGACCGTCGTTCTTCATCCATGGACAACGCTCCACGAGGCCATGGGCCAAGAGGTCATGTGCTAAGAGGGTACGCGCCAAGAGGTCAAGCGGAAAGAGGCCAAAATCCCAAAATTCCCAAGAAGTTTCAACGCCCGTGCCGGCCATTACAAATCGCAGTGAGTATTTCTCGTTCCTTTTTCGATTCACAATAATATTTTCAAATCTCTCTTTTAGCCGGACTACGAGCGGGTCTACGCTGCTCGCCGAACGTTGTGCTCAATCCCCTCGTCTGCGCAAAAACCGGTCAATTTTCACATAAAATTGGTAAGTATTTTGACAATTACAAACAAGAATTCGAGGGCGTGTGGTTAACTATTACTGGAAATTCATTTTTTCAGACGCGCCCGCTCACCGAAAGGCAGGATTTGGTGAACAAATTGTACGAAGCATTCGATTATCGCTCGAAAGAAGGCGAAACCTGGGAAGATTTGAAACGGAGAGTTTTGGAGGCGGAGAGAGAATTAATGGCTTACGAAGAGCAACACCAAGACGAGGAGAAGAAGAAACGGTCGGCTGTGATAAGGGCAAGGCTGATTCGAGACAACCCAGGCTGCGATCAGCCAGGTTATCGCCGTCGATCGCGGTCGAGAAGCTGGAGCTGTTCGCCCAATAAACGATATAAGGACATCTTTGAGTTCTAAGTCTTCTGGTTGTTTCGCCCCTCTATAATGCAATATTCTTATCATCGCGGTTTCTTATATTCTAGCTTTGTTCCGGCTCCAGTTCGATCTTCTCTCCCGTTTGTTTCTCTTTTGACCCGTGAAATCTGACGGTTTTCTACGTATATTACCTATTTCTAACGTTTGTGTTCCATTCCTATATGTCGTTTATTTTTTAATTTTTTTCCCGTTACGTTACCGGTCGAGTTTTCCTTTAAATGAATTTTGAAGCGCAAAAAGTCCTTGAGGCAGAAAATGTTTCTGGCACTTATTTTCAGACAGTAGTAATTATGGAAAATGACATCCATGGGAAACGTCCGAAGAAAATCTAGGAGTTTTTAGAATTCGCAATACATCTTAAGTTGGTCAATAATTTTTGGAAAAACCCTTCTGTTTATGGCAAATACTTTTTTAGCTGCCATATTCTCGTTTCGGTCATTTCGATGCAGAATCGCCAATTTTTTTTGGAATTCCGACGCTATCTGGGCAGCAGGTACATATTGGATAGCCTTTTCAAAATTTTGGTATCAAATTATTCCAATTTATGAAATTTTGGAATTTCGGAATTTTTCGAAATTGTGGAACTTTGAAATTTTTAGAATATTCCCATTTTCAAAATTTTCAAACTTTGGAATATTCCGAGGTTTACAAATATCGAATGTTATAATATTTCAGTTTTTAAAATTTCTGAACGAGGGAGTTTCAATTTCCAAAATTTTCTAATTTTGGAATATTCCAATTATGATAATTATTGAGTTTCGAAACATCTGAATATTCTGTTTTCTTTTTATTCCGGAACTTCAGAATATTCCGATTTTCTAAATTTCGGAATATTTTGATTCAAGGCTTTGGAATTTCAGAAAATTGTGATTTTTGAAAGCTTAAATTTCGAAACTTTCCAAATTCTGAGATTCAGAAAAGCTTTAGAAAAACATCGGTCGGAATTTCCGGAGGTTTCGGAAGTCCGAATGTCTTGGAATTGATCATTCTTCATGCCATCATGAAAATTGAATACTCTATTATTATATGTGCCATTAACAAACCCTCTTTTTCACAAATGCGAGAATAGAGAAAACGAAAAGTTTAGAGAATCGAAGGTTTGATTATAATTTCCATTTCGAATATCCATTCTGCTTGTTTTTCTCTTCTCAACAATGCCCAGATTTTTATAGGATCGTCATATTTTGATTAGCCAGTCCCAAAAAGATTGTTTTCCACACTTTTATAAGAAGGGTCAACTTGTTTGCGTCAATGAAATGACGTGAATTTCCTTTCAATTAGATTGTTTTCGATTTGAAAACTTTTAGTTTCTTGTTCCTGGTTAGAGCTCATTTCATCAATTTCAAAATGTTAATGGTAATCACGTCAGCCATTGTAATTTCACCAGAAAGATGCACTTTTACAAAATTAGCCAACTCAAAGGTGCACTTTTCTATTCGAAACTCCGGAAATCAGGATAAGGTACAAATCCCTAGGGAATTATTTAGGTCAAAATTGTTGACAAAAAGGAAGGAATGATGAGAAGGAAACATAGATGTGATCACATGCTTTATTAGTAGACAACTTTCACTTCATTTTCAGATTCGCTTGGATTTTTATTATGCGAAGCCTAATACGTAATTGGGTTCCACTTCTTAATCTGTATGCTCACTGAAAAAGCTTTCAAAATCATGAGTCAACCTCTACCGGCTTTGATAAGAAAATTTATTAGTAAGCTGAAGCGATGGGAAGAAAATTCTATTTTCGGTTAGATAAGTTTTTTCCGGAATTTCGAAATTCTGAGGTTCCAAAATTATCAAAATCGGAATTTTCCGAAATTTCGGAATACAAACATTCTAAAATTTTTGAACTCGGAACTTTTCGAGATTTTGAAATTTCGAGATTCCAAAATCTTTTAAATCGGAATATTTTGAAAATTCAAAAGTTCAAAATTTTTGAAATCGAACCATTACCGAAATTCCAAAATTATTTGAATTTTGAAGTTTTCGAAGCTTCGAAATTCCAAGATTTCGAAATTTCTGAACTTGGAGTTTTCCGAAATTTTGAAATTCCAAGATACCTAAAAATTTGAAATCGGAATATTCCGAAATTCCTAATTTAATAAAATCGAAATTGTACAAAATATCGAAATTCCGAGATTCCAAAATTTTTGAAATCGGAATTTTTCAAATTCTGAAACACCGAAAGTCAAAATTCGGAGATTCCAAAATTTTCACAATCGGAATTTTCCAAAAACTCGAAAAACCAATTTTTTTGAATTCGTATTTTGCGAAATTATGAAATTCCGAGATTCCAAAATTTTGGGAATCGGAATATTTCCAAAATTCGAAAAGTTCAAAATTTTTGAAACCCCATTTTCCCGAAATTGTCAAATTTTTTCCAAAATTTCTTCCAAAATTAAAAAATTGATTCCAAAATTTCTGAATTCGGAATTTTCCGAAATTTCAAAATTCCAAATTTTTTAAAATCGGAATATTCCGGAATTCCGAAATTCCAACATTTCAAAACTTTTGAACTCGGATATTTCCAAAATTTCAAAATCCAGGGTTCCAAAATTTTAGAAATCGGAATTTTCCGAAATTTTGGAATACCAACATTCTAAAATTTTTGAACTCGGAATATTTTGAAAATTCGAAACTTCAAAATATTTGAATTTGGAAGTTTCCGAAATTTCGAAATTCCGGGATTCCAAACTTTTTTAAATCGGAATATTCCGGAATTCCGAAAATCCAACATTTCAAAACTTTCGAACTCGGAATTTTCCAAAATTTCAAAATTCCAGGGTTCCAAAATTTTAGAAATCATAATTTTTCAAAATTCCGAGAATCCAAAATTTTTAAAATCGGAGTTTTCCAAAAGTTCAAAACTCCAAAAGTCTAAAATTTTTAAAATTGGAATATTCCGAAATTCCGAGGCTTCAAAACTTCCGAAATTGGAACATTTTGAAATTTCGATTTTCTGGTTTTGTCAAAACCGGAATCTTCAAAAATTTAAAAATTCCGAGTTTCCAAAAATTTCGAAATCGGAATTTTCCTAAATTTTCGAAATCGGAATATTTTGAAACTGCGAGATTCCAAAAATTTGGAAATCGGAATTTTCCGATGTTTCGAAATTCCGAGTATTCAAAATTATCATAATTAGAATAATCCAAAATTCCAAAACTTTTGAAATCAGAACATTCCAATAATTTAAAAATTTTGAGAATCTGAAACTCCGGAACCTAAAATTGGGATAATTCAGGATTCCGAAACTAATCGACATATTACCAATTTTTTGAACTTTTAAAGTTCCACATTTCATTTAAATTTTAGAATTTTCAGTTTTTGCAAAACATGAAGTTCAAAAATTGAATGCTCTAAATTTTCGACTCAGTTTTAATGAAACTAGAAGCATACAAATATGAAAATTTAGTTGAATTTTTGTTTATTTGAATTTTTGCAAATAAATTTTAAACTTCGAAATCTCTTTGATCAAAACTAGTATTTTCTTTTCCTAATGTCATAAACCCAGGTTGAAATGAAACGTACGGAAGTTCGGAAACAAATTATTTGAAAATGTTGATATTCGGAAATTAAACAATTTCCTTCTTCAGGGTTTCAAAGTACTCGGGGTTATATAATTCCCTATATTCAAAATAAAAAGTGTACATCTGAGAACTTTAGTAATTTTTTCAAACCTTCACACTTCCTTTTTTGCTATTCGTTGAGTTGGAATGCCAATTAAAATAGCTGGTTTTCAGCTTCCGTCGTCTTAAAATCGTCTTGTATCTCGAACGTCATGTGGTGCTGTTTAGGTAGAAGAGAAGTAAGATCCACCCAGTTTTATAAAGCATTCTATTGAATTGTCATTTAGGAAAACCAAGAGAACGAATTCTCTCAAAATGAGAATGCTGCGCCCCAGGCCGCACCACAAGCAGCTGAAGCAGATCCAGATCCAGCCGATGATGAGGCCGACAAGCCAGGCATTTTCGTTGTGGGGGAACTCCCCAGGGCTGCGTGGGAGCCACCAAGGGAACAGGTAATTTAAATAGTATGAATGTGCGGTAATCGCGGCTATTGTTTTCAGTGCACTAATTTGAATAGTCTGCAAATCTGATACATTAAGATGTAACAATCATTTCAGAGTTTGAGCGGGAAAGATGATGCATTTAAAATTAAAAACATTTTGAAATTTAACTATAACACAGAAATTTCCAGGAGCGTCGAGCCGCCACTCCTCCGCCCCCAGTTTTTCAGGTAAATGAGAAATATTCATATTGTTCTTGGCAAATCTGAATTTTGAAAATTTTGCCTCCTAAAATTGGAAAAAAAGAACATAAAAGTGAAAATTATCACTCAAATTATATGAAAACTTTATAGGTTATCAACATCTAAATGCATACGGTAAACTGTGAACCAAATAAATACAATGCCCAACTGTGGACTGGCACTGCACTTCTCAGTATATACCATGTTGGCCGAAATTCTATACCAAAATGAAATTTTGGCACTCTTCTAGAATCACGGAACGAAAAAAAAATCACGGAACGAAAAATAAAATCATGGAACGAAAACTTTGTGTAATCCAAAAATTGCTAGGACCTTCATTCAAGTACTATCCTGAAATCTAACCTTGACATTACATTTTCTTTGCTCAGTATCCAAAATGACACCCGAAATGTGGTATATTGTCCTTAAGGTACACTAGTTGATAGTGTACATGGTTAATAGGTTACATAGGGCCTTTCCCAGGTGTTCTGAGGATCATGGGACATATGAGCGTTAGATTAGAGGCTGCAACGAGCAGAGTTATTAAACTTGCCGTTGTCTTTTGGGTGTCCCACATGTAGGAAACATGATGATTCAGCCTAAGCCTGTAAGTCTTCTTGGAACAAATTATTAGTCCGGAATAAGAATAGTCTTGGGACAAATTGAGTAGAAATCGTGGCATGAAATTTCTTGTCTCGGATTTTTCATTTTTCAAAAATTCGATGATATTTTTGGATTGAGGAAGCTTTTTTCAACCACAGGCTTAGGCCGAAACGCCATGCTTCTTTTATCTGAAACACCCTAAAATGTCAAAAAGTTTAATAACTGCTTGATGTAGCTTTAAACTGAATTTTTAGATGTTCCACAGGTCCTATGTAACCTGTTAACTAGTGTATCTTGAGAAATTGATAAACCCTTTTTTAGTATACTTTTGGGTATTGGAAAAAGTAAAATTGATGCCAAAGTTAGTATTACGGATACTACTTGTCAATGTAAAGAAGATAACAATTTTTTTGGATTACCCAAAATTTTCGTTCCGTGATTTTTCGTTCCGTGATTTTTTTTAGTTCCGTGATTCTAGAAGAGTGCAGAAATTTTTAGTAAAAAATGGTCAATTTTGAGTGTCTGTAAAAGTGCTCCTTACTTTTCCGTTTGGTCTGAATATATCAGAAACTATAATACATAAATGAAACTTAATTTTTGTAGTTTACAATTTTTGTGAACCCCCTAGTCGGACAGATTATTAAGTGATTGTGTCAAAAAAGTTGCGAACTACAAAAATATACTTTTATTTTCGATTTATAGTTCCAAGAATTTTCAGAACCAACAAGCAAGTAATAAGTAGTTTCTTAGACTCCCAAAGTTTTCCATTTTTAACTGAAGTGGTCACATTTAGGATAGAACTGTGAACAGCACTGTACATTGTATTTGTGGAATTCCTCAAAAATTTTATCATGTTCCGCTCTCTTCAAATTCATAATCAATGTCAACTCCCTCAATTTAATCAGACCCCTCTTTAATAATTGTTCCCCCCCCCCCCTCCTTCCTTCCTACTATCTCGTAAGTTTTCACTATTCTCTATTTTTTCCTCAACTCCCAGAACCTTTCACAAGTGATCTGTGATATCACATTTCTTTTGAGATGACTGTTGTTTGACACTCGTTTGGACTGTATCCGATTTTTTTTTGGAAAATATCATTTAGTTTCTTAAAAGTTTTTTCGAATAAAAAGACCCACGGAATATCTCACTAAAACAGCTTGAAACTTCAGCAATTGATGTACATAAAGTTAGTCTTCGCCACGAGTTGTCGAGTGGGTCGTTGATTCTTTTTCAGTCGGACCCATCTCTCTGAACAGAATATAAAATTTTTATAATAAAAAAGGAAATTAAGACAGATAGATCTAGATTTAAAAACTGATTTTATTGGACATTTGCGTGGTTTCAGATACCTTTTCTCAAAGAACAAATTTGTTGGTTTTAGTTTACTAAAAAAACTTCGCGAACACGCTGAGAAACAAAAAAAATGGCTCCGCTAAAAATTTAAGAGTTTTGCCTTTTGACTGTATTTTCATAACTTCTTGAACTTTCTATAATTATTGTTTTTGAAACGGAAAGGTGTAATTTTAAATTAGTTGTTTACTACATCTACTCAAATCCTTTTTTTTTATAATTTGAAGAATTATTACTCGATTTTATCGATTTTCTATTTTTGAACGTAGGAGACATAGAAAAATTGGCTCTTTCCGGGAAGAACGGTCCCAAAACAGGACCGCCGGTCCCATCATCGGACCACCGGTCCCAAGAATTGCGACAACGGTCCCATAGTTTCGACAACGGTCCCATTGCCCCGAGAACGGTCCCAACGTTCCGACAACGGTCCCAAGGTTACGACAACGGTCCCAACCAGGCTCAATCTGGAAACCCTATTTCCGAAATACAGAAAAACACGGAATGACCTTTTAAAAATACAGTGGAGAATTTAACATTTTACTTATACTTGGGAATCGCAGTACTTTTTGACAGGAATTTTTCACAAAATATTACGTTTTTCGTATTGTAGGCTTAGGCCAAAACGCCTTTTTCCGGCACTGATGTGAACAAGATTTTTCAGCATAAGCCTATAATTATAAACCAAATACATTCTGAAAAAATTTCAGTGAAAAAGTGCTGGAATTCTCAATTATCAGCAAAATGTTCGTTTTTGTAGCTGAAATGTGTTTCTTAGTTGAATCAAAAATTACAATTTCCGATGTTTCCAATAGGGTTTCCAGATTAAGCCTGGTTGGGACCGTTGTCGTATCCTTGGGACCGTTCTCGGGACATTGGGGCCGTTGTCGAAACAATGGGACCGTTGTCGCAAGTCGTTGGGGCCGGCGGTCCGATGATGGGACCGCAGGTTCCGCTTTAGGACCGTTCTTCCCGGAAAGAACCGAAAAATGTTGTCTACAGTGAGGAAAAAAGATCAAATGCTGCTCAAAAAATTTTTTCCCAGATTCTATTCAATTTCGTGATAAATGAGAAGAAACTTATTTTTTATTTTATCTATTTCAATATTAGACTTTTTGAACTTTTGATTTTGCTAGCCTTATACAACAGATGATTCTTCAGATCAAAATGGGCAGCTGTGCATCTCAGAACGCCGTCCGCCCAGCGCCAAATGTAGAGGTAATTTGTGACTTTTTTCTCTACAGATTTTTTTTCAGAATGACCCACCAGCCGCAGTTGCCAATTTGGCGGCCAATGGTGCACAGCAGTTCGCCGTAATTCATCGGGTATTGCAAGTCGGGGTGAGTACGAAACTATCGCATTATTAGAAAAATAGGCAAATTATTGTTGCCGCAAAAATTGAACTTTTTCATTTTTTTCAAATTACTTTTGGTAACAATTATGTTTATGATTTCAAATGGACAGATGATCGAAATGTAAAACTTTTGAAATGAAAAATCAAAATTTTCAAAGTTCACCGAACTTTGAAATGAAAAACTATGTTTTCCAGGATGCCCAACCAGCCCCCAATTGGCAGCCGAGGCCACAAGCGGTGAGAATTTGATCTTAATGACCTATCTTTGACCTATCTCAATTTTCCCGGAATAGAAATCAAAAAACAAGAAAGGGGGCAGTTCGGGGGACGAAATCGCGCCGCGCTTATGTAGACCATCGGTCGTCAGGCGCCTTCGCGCCCCCGTAGCTCAGCCGGTAGCGGCGCTGTACCCCTGAGCTGCCTGTCATGAGTTCAACCCCTCATAGGGGTTCTCTATGCAAAATATCAGGAAAAGTTTTTTTTTGGTGTCTGGCCTCCTTTAACATAGAAACCCATATATACAGGGTGCGGTAAAAGTATGGTAACACATTCAACGTCATGTAACTTTCCTAAAATGACCCGTATCAACATGAAAATTGGACAATAGTTAACTGAATACTTTCTGAATATTAAATTATGAAAATTGTTCGACACGGTTACCTTTGTTGCTTACAACATTGATGAGCATCTTCGGGAACGCCTCCACTGGGACACGAGGGTATTCTGAGGATAGCTGGGTCCGTCCTGGGTCCAAACCTGTTTCCAATGACTACATATTAGGTTCTGGACGTGTTTGGACCCTTGGCTGAAATATTCCATATGCGGAATAGTCCAACAAATTCATGTCTGGCGACGAGGGTGACTATTCGCAAGTCATACTGAAGATTGAAAAGTTGGCCGTGTATCCTGGCTTAATGATTTTTGTCTTGTGAGCGGGAGCAGAATCCCGTTGAATAGTTCAAACATGGTTTTCAAAATAGGATTTGGCCCACGGAAGAATATATCTCTTGAAAATTTCTTCATATTAGTACTTTTTGTTGATTTTCACCCCAAAATCTACAAAAATTAGATCTTGAAGATTGTTGCACCAAAAACCATGTCGTTCTGATGATATGAAACTCTTTTGGTCATGTTACCATGCCCATTAGATAGCTCAGATGTCGGGGAAAAAACTCGATAGTCGATGCCGTCACAAGTTTCTCATCGGCAAACATCATCTTCATGTGTTCATTTTGGCGCGTTCCAGCAAATGTCGATTTTCACTTCTGGACGCGTACCAGATTTTTGTTTCCCAACAGAATTCTAGTCTTCTGGACACGACATGGGGTCAGTTCGAGCTCACTTTTAGCGATTCTACTGAGTGGCTGACTGCTCATTCGGAGCTCCAGGCTCATTTTTTCTTGCTTCGGTGCGGATTTCGAAAAACTCGTTCTTCGACGGTCTTGCTTTTCTTCAGAATGATCAAAGTTAGGGATCTTATGTTTTTTAGACAGTTCTTGATCGTATTTAACTAATCAAACCATGCCATGGTTACTCACACGGTTCTTCGTCAAATTCCAAAAGCTTTTCCGAAGCTACTTGTGCCCACACCCCTCTTGGTCACCTCGACGAGGGTACCTAGGTGTATAGAACTTGTCACCATTTGTGTTAAAGTCAACCAAAATAATTGACAATTTGGTAATTAAGTAATTAAGACATGCTGAAAATAATGAATATAAATTCAGGTCACAAAAATTGCGCCTGCGCCCACCAGCTTGCGCGAAACTTGTGTTACCATATTTTTGCCGCACCCTGTAAACTAAGCTCAAATGGTAAGAAGAGGGGTGAAAACCTATCAGCAGAAATACAGTGCAACTAGAATAGTTTTCCGTCAAAAATTCAGATTTAGTCAAATCGTTTGTCATAGAATGAAAAATTTTTGAACACGATTCCGTGAACCGCACACAAAAAAAAGCCTCTCTTCCCAAACCGTCAACTTTGAGTCTATATATCTCATTTCTCAGATTTCAGTAGTTTCTATCAGTAATTTGCAGGAAAGGCGGGCCGGAACTCCAAGGGCACCGAATGGTCGCCAACGGAACTATGTTGTTGTAAACCACCCAGCTCCACGCCCAATGCCACAGGATGTCCAGGTAAATGCCTAAAACTTAAAAATGTGAAGGTTATTGTAACGAGTATAAAAACCTTTTTTAACTAGTCTAGGAAAAAAAAAGATGCTGCTAGAGACGATAGTTTAAGTAATTCCCGATTTCTCAAAAAAAGGTTGATTTATGGAATTTTTTTTGAAAATCAAGAAATTGAGACAGTTCATTCTAATAGTGAATAGTAAATTTACTCTAATTTAAACTCTAATTTAAATAAATTTAAATAATTAAAATAACAGTTCATTTTTTAAGTCGAATAAATTTTTACAGATAGATTGATCAACCAATGCTGATGGTGCAGAATATCAACTGGCACGATATTTCGACATCTTAGAATTAGATTTTAATGATAATCCAGTCTCCACAAAATAGAAAATTGCCATTGTACTCTTACTAGTGCAAACCCTATCGTCATTGTTTTTCGAAACTTCATTATTTCTCTATCGTCATTGTTTTTCGAAACTTCATTATTTTCTTCCCGGAAAGAGCCAATTTCTATGTCTCCTACGTTCAAAAATAGAAAATCGATAAAATCGAGTAATAATTCTTCAAATTATAAAAAAAAAGGATTTGAGTAGATGTAGTAAACAACTAATTTAAAATTACACCTTTCCGTTTCAAAAACAATAATTATAGAAAGTTCAAGAAGTTATGAAAATACAGTCAAAAGGCAAAACTCTTAAATTTTTAGCGGAGCCATTTTTTTTGTTTCTCAGCGTGTTCGCGAAGTTTTTTTAGTAAACTAAAACCAACAAATTTGTTCTTTGAGAAAAGGTATCTGAAACCACGCAAATGTCCAATAAAATCAGTTTTTAAATCTAGATCTATCTGTCTTAATTTCCTTTTTTATTATAAAAATTTTATATTCTGTTCAGAGAGATGGGTCCGACTGAAAAAGAATCAACGACCCACTCGACAACTCGTGGCGAAGACTAACTTTATGTACATCAATTGCTGAAGTTTCAAGCTGTTTTAGTGAGATATTCCGTGGGTCTTTTTATTCGAAAAAACTTTTAAGAAACTAAATGATATTTTCCAAAAAAAAATCGGATACAGTCCAAACGAGTGTCAAACAACAGTCATCTCAAAAGAAATGTGATATCACAGATCACTTGTGAAAGGTTCTGGGAGTTGAGGAAAAAATAGAGAATAGTGAAAACTTACGAGATAGTAGGAAGGAAGGAGGGGGGGGGGGGAA